CCTTAAGCCATTTAGCAAAGTTAATCTCTGAGTGAGTTTGTAGGTTTAAATGCCACCCTAATTGGAGCCTTGTTGAGAATCCTGTGTGTAGCGTATCTGATGTACCTTCCTTGTATGGTAGGTAACACAATGTCGGTTTCGAACTCCTTTCTATTCATATTGTCATTTTTATTGTATTTGTATTACTGTTACTACTTCCTTTCTTATGATTTCATAGGAATTTTTGAATAGACGACTGTACAGGATAATTACTAAATATTAACTCTTCTTTTATGTGTTTCAATTCCTGACTTAAGTCCTTGAACTTGTAGGGATGCGTGTTACAATTCCGTAACGTTTGATCAACCCTACTTAATTTGATGTGCTCTAGTACCTGCTTAACCAGTACTTTACCTAACGTGTAAGTACTGGTAACAAAACACAAATCAAAAGAACTGATACGCAATGTATTTAAAGGAGCTATGTATTTAAGGTAAATGTTATAATAATGAATGAGGGAAAAGTTTAATCAACTTATCTGGCTTGTAAGGCTGAACTAGGGACTCGGAGTACGTGCGTGGTGATCAGCACAATGGAGCGCAAAAATGGCGTCCAAGCCTGCTCGGATGCATGCTCGTTAAAACAAAACTTAAAACACCCTAAGCATCCGGAGGCAAGCTAGAGATTTATTTAGTTAATTTAATTTAAACTATTTATTTTAGCCCTAGTTATATTTTGGTGCCAGGAAGGTGCACTACAGGTTATCCCCCTCCTAGAAGGTTGTTGGGATACCGGCAACCTTCGATCCTAGGAGGCGACTGCGAGGCGGACACGCAACACCTTTCCATATTGGTGATGGAGTAGGTGACGTGTGGGTCTCCGAAGCTAGTGCAACTATGCACACCTACGAGGTAAGATAACTTTGCGTCTAGACGCAACCCTTCTCGCAGTGGTGGAAGGTGACCCAAAGCCTCCGTCTACTTTTCCCTATTGCTTCTTAATCTACCGGGGAGTGTACAGGGGGAAATTGGTACAAAGAGAACCGAAGAACGATCCAAGTAGCATCGTCAGCGGCCAATTGTATCCAATTTTCAACGCATTTTCTAGGTTCTGCAAGAAGAAAGAAATGGGACATTAGAGTGCTAAGAAAAGAAAAACCAAACAATTCGAAGTGGGAGTAGTACAGAAAAAAAAATAATAACCAACCAAAAAAAGTTTTCGGAATTTAAATTGTATTTTTGGTTTTTCTTTTTTTTTTTTGAAAAAAAAACTGTTTGCAAAGTAGTAAACATGACTTTTGAAAACTTTAGGTATGAAAACGCATTGAAAGTGTATGCCACGACAAAGTAGTTGAAACTCCGAATTCACCAAGTGTGAAGTTGCTCTGGGGCTAATTAACGAACTCGGCGTATCGCTTGGGCCAATGTACACGCCTCCCAGCACGTGTAGAGGTTACTGGATCAGTGTTACTAGACGTGGCTCTTTTAGAAGGTTCAGGATACGCGCGACTAAACGAGTCTGTTAGGGAGTCCGGCGGCAAGGGTTTTTCTAGTTGTGTCGGTGTAGAGGAAGGCGGGTCGTCCTCTATATAAGCTGCCTTCAAACGATCGACACTTATAGAATCCTGCCGTCCAGATCTGTCAATGACGAAAAACTTTTCTTTCCTACTGAGAACCTTGAAGGGTCCGTCGTATGGTGGCTGTAAGGGCTTACGTACACCGTCACAACGCACAAAGACGTGAGTGCAATCTTGGAGTCTTTTATCCAGCTGCACCCGTCTACACTGTATCCGTGTGGATGAGGGTTGGAGGCGACGCATGTGTAACTTAAGAGTTTGAGCATAGCCATGGATATCGGTAGGAGTTGGGTCACTGCAGTCTGAAGCGACCATCTCACCCGGCAAACGTAAGTTACCACCGTAAACTAACTCAGCAGGTGTACACTGTATATCAGTCTTGAGTGTAGAACGGATGCTGAGAAGAACCAACGGCAGAGACTCAGTCCATTTCATATTGTCGACTGCCATTAGTGCGCTCTTAAGGTGTCGGTGGAATCGCTCGACCAAACCATTGGAAGCTGGATGATATGCGGTAGTGCGGATGCGTTTGCATCCCAACAGATTCATCAGCTTCTGGAAGGTAGCGGATTCGAACTGTTGGCCTCTGTCGGTTGTCACGGTGGAAGGGCATCCAAACTGTGAAACCCATCCTTCGACGAAAACCCGACTTACTGTTTCGGCAGTAATGTTAGACAGTGGGATGGCTAACGGCCAGCGAGTAAACCTATCGACACATGTCAGTAGGTAACTATATCCATCGGAGGGTGGAAGTGGGCCGACAATGTCTAAGTGGACATGAGCGAATCGTGCGTCAGGTTTGGCGAAAGTTCCAAGTGGTGGGATGTTGTGACGATTCACCTTGGAACGTTGGCACTGAATACATGACCGTGTCCAGTTTCGAACATCACGGTTAATACCAGGCCAAACAAACCTAGCAGATATGAGCTTGTCAGTGGCGCGGATGCCAGGATGTGAAAGATTGTGCAAAGCATCAAAAACATGCTTACGCAAGGATAAAGGAACAACCGGTCTGGGTGTGCCTGTGGAGGTGTCGCACAATATTGACACTTCACTGTTCAGGAGCGGTAACGCTGTATCTTCAGAGAGGATGAGTGTTGAAGTTTTTCAATCTCCTCGTCTGAATCCTGAAGTTCGGCAATCTTCCGTAAGTCGACTGCTCGAGGCAAATTAGTGGTGCAAACGCGAGACAGTGCGTCCGCGACAGGGTTATTCACACCAGAAATATGACGGATGTCCGACGTGAATTGCGAAATATAATCTAGGTGACGTAATTCACGCGGTGAATATCTGTCAGTAGTGGTGTGTAAGGCATACGTCAGAGGTTTATGGTCGGTAAAGATGATGAAGTCACGACCTTCCACAAAATGACGAAAATGTTTCACTGAGGCATATATGGCGAGCAGTTCCCTGCCGAAAGTGCTGTACCGCATTTCGCAGGTGGATAACTTCCGAGAGAAGAATGCAACTGGGATCCAAGTGTGATCCGAAAGTTGTTGCAACACAGCTCCAATGGCCGTGTTAGAGGCGTCAACCGCAATGCTAAGAGGTAGGTTTACGTCTTGATGCACCAGCATCGTGGCGTCTGCTATTGCGGTTTTGATCTTGCGAAATGCTTCTAGTGCCTCCGGAGTCAAGCTGAAAGTTTTACATTTACTTTTCAGCAGGTCGGTCAGTGCAGTCAAAATGTGTGCACATTGGGGAACGAAGCGACGATAATAGCTCACCATACCCAAAAACACACGCAGAGCTTTAAGTGACGCTGGGACTGGGAAGTCTTGGATCGCCTGTACCTTTTCAGGTAGTGGGCGAATGCCTTGCTCGTCGATAACGTGTCCCAAAAATTTTAGTGAACGAACGCCAATTGGCATTTGGCCAGGTTGACTGTCATCGAATGCTCTGACAGTCTGGCGAAAACCTGTTTCAAGTGGTTAAAATGAGTGTCTTCGTCTGGACTAGCGATTAGTATATCGTCTAGGTAGGCATAGGCGAAATCGAGTCCACGTAAAACATCGTGAATAAAACGTTGGAAGGTTTGTGCTGCATTGCGAAGACCAAAAGGCATACGGAGGAACTCAAAAAGACCAAACGGTGTAATGACGGCTGTCTTGGGAACATCATCAGGATGAACCGGGATCTGATGATATGCACGCGTCAAGTCAAGCTTACTGAAGATAACCGAGCCTTTTAAAGATGCAGTCAAGTCGTGAATGTGAGGGACTGGGTAACGATCTGGAATCGTTTTAGCGTTGAGCCTTCGGTAGTCACCACAAGGCCTCCAGTCCATGCCATTGTTCTTGGGTACCACATGCAAGGGTGAAGACCATGGACTGTTGGATGGTCTGATTATTCCCATTTCAAGCATGTGTTCGAACTCGGCTTTTACAGCACGCAGTTTCTCCGGGGATAATCGCCGTGGTTTCGCAAACACTGGCGGGCCAGTCGTCGTTATGTGATGAGAAACGTTCGAAGTCACACAAGGGACACAACGACTTGGCTTAAAGACATCCGGAAAGGACTGAATGATAGACGCATAGGGACTAGAAGCGTCCGTCGTGCAGTACACGGGACTGAGGGGCGGCGTCTTTGTGACTATACCGGAAACAGAGAGTGTTGTGGTAGAATCTATCAACTTATGCTTGCCAGCATCTACCAGCAGCTGATAGTGCTGCAAGAGATCCATACCAATAATGCCGGTGGTCACATCTGCCACTATGAAAACCCAACGAAAGGGACGACGCAATCCAAGGTTGAGATCGAGGAATCTCCGACCATAGGTTGTGATGGGCGAACCGTTGGCGGCACGAAGTTGCAGAGACATTGGCCGCAGACGCTCTTCCTTCGTAGGTGGGATGACGCTAGCTTCTGCCCCAGTGTCAACTAGGAAGCGTATCCCAGAATGTCGATCAGTGACGAAGAAGAGGCGACATGGAAGTGGCTCGCCAGCGACGTTAGTCGCCGTCACGTGCTGGCTCACACGTTTCCCGCCTGGTTAGCCTCGAAGGTGCAAGGTCGAGTGCACTTTTTGGCATTGGCACCATAACGTTTATGGTACCAGCACAACCTGGGTTGGGATTGTCGCGATTTGGAACGTCTGCTACCGGTACGGGAGGCAGACCTGTTGCGCGAGCGAGACGTGCGACCTTTGTAAGAACTACCAGACCGCATTTCGTTCCTGATGCTGCACAACTCTTCATACAATTTTGAGATGTGAGCTATAACATCGAAACTTGTTGGCTCAACAGCCGAGGGAGGATGTGGGTTTTGGGACGAATCCGTGGCAGTAGACAGTGCAGCTGAGATACTAGTGTTGGGTTTCGTAGCATCCACAGCTCTGTCAGCCGCTTCCGCCAGCTCTATTAAGGGACACTTATGGAAGGGTGCGAGGATCCCTTGAACCGACTGTGGTAACCTCTGTAACCACAGTTGCTTGAGAAATGCTTCATCAATGTTGAAGTCAGCAATCAGCTGCTTCATCTGACGAAGCAGTTGCGTCGGCTTGCGATCACCCAGATGCACATCCCTGAAAAGTTCTTGCACTTTCTGCTGGTCAGTAAGTGCAACACGTTTGATGAGGGCGGTTTTGAGGCGATCGTAAAGATTCGGTGCTGGGTCATCTAGCACATCTGAGACGTCTTCGATCACATTTTCCGGTAAGCTGACGATGACTAAGTTGGACTTAGTTTCTTGTGATTGAATGTGTCTCAAGGCAAACTGAGCTTCCACATGGGAGAACCATGCAGATGGTCTGTGGGCCCAGAAGGTGGGAAGCTGGAGGGTTACGGCCATCTGCGCAGTCGAGTCGTTATCCGCCATTGATCAGGGAATTAACGAGGCACGATAGTGATAATAAAAAAAATTACAATGCAAAAATAACCAATGAGGAGTGCAATAATATAAAAAAAACGCTAGACGTGCCAAAAACAAAATTAGGCCAGACAAATCAACGCAAGAGAACAAAGGTACTAGACAAAATAAGAAGTGATACTCGGGCTCACCAATTTTTGTAGGGATGCGTGTTACAATTCCGTAACGTTTGATCAACCCTACTTAATTTGATGTGCTCTAGTACCTGCTTAACCAGTACTTTACCTAACGTGTAAGTACTGGTAACAAAACACAAATCAAAAGAACTGATACGCAATGTATTTAAAGGAGCTATGTATTTAAGGTAAATGTTATAATAATGAATGAGGGAAAAGTTTAATCAACTTATCTGGCTTGTAAGGCTGAACTAGGGACTCGGAGTACGTGCGTGGTGATCAGCACAATGGAGCGCAAAAATGGCGTCCAAGCCTGCTCGGATGCATGCTCGTTAAAACAAAACTTAAAACACCCTAAGCATCCGGAGGCAAGCTAGAGATTTATTTAGTTAATTTAATTTAAACTATTTATTTTAGCCCTAGTTATATTTTGGTGCCAGGAAGGTGCACTACAAACTGACTGGTGGTTTTTTAAAGCTTTGTTATTAAGATATTTCACTAAACCTGCCTTAACTGATATTCGATGAGGTGATCTGAAGTATAGATACCTGTTGAAATGTATCGGTTTCCTGTAGACGGTAGTATGCAACCCGTCGTCTCTCCTTCACTCTATTCTGCAATCAACATACCTAATTCATCATCTCCATTTTCTATCTCTTAAGTGAATTTAATTGCGCGTAATACTGAGTTGATATGTGTGAGGAAATTGTCGACATGTTCCAATTTCAATACACATATAGCCATCATATCTTGGGTGTAGGATTAAACTCTCGTAAAGCTGTTTTCCCAATTATCCATAGATATATCTGCGAAGATTGGAGATATTGATGATCCCAATGTTACTCCTTTTGTTTATCAATATATATCTTGTTCAGAAACCTGCAAACTGTGGAGGCCAAGGACAACAGCACGCCTTATATGATATCATCAACCGATATCTTAGTTCTGTGAGTAAGTTCTGAGTCAATATTTAGTTGATTTCTGACTGCTTCCAGTTTCATATTGATTAGTATTTCAGTAAAAAGACTTGTTACACCGAAACTAGGCTTTTTTTCATTCTCCTCTCTACGTAGGTCATTAAGTCTCAGTTTTAACTTGTAGGAGTTTACTAGTGTGGAATTTCAACGCTTCCTAATAGGAAGATAGAAATGTAGCTAAACACATCTCTGTGATATCCTCACCATCCTTGGTGTGTTTCACTCCTGACTGTTGATTATGGGATTATTCAATGCAGACTTTCTTTTTGGTCATTGCACGTTAACTATTTCCACTGTTTAACCTGCTCAAAACCAGCTGGGATGAGTCTTGAAGCGATGTGCAATTTGATAGAGTCTTATTTGATTGGAAGCAATCGGTAGGTAATCCTGCTTAACATAAATTCTTTACTTGTTGATACTTGTAGCAAGTGATTTTCCATCACAGATTCGAACCCATATCACTCAGTGATGCAGCCAGAGAAGTTACTACTGAACTTTTCAGATCATTGGGTTAGATAAAAAGATGGAGAAGAGTGTTGAGAACAGCGGGTTTTTTTATTAATAAGCTTCACTTACAGACTGCCAACTGACCAGTAGATTGCTGCTGTTGACAATGACACAAAGCCTCTAATTATTTTATCGGAAACAAATAATTTTACTCTGAAGATAAATGAAGAACTGGCATAACCCTTTAACCTTTCAGTCACGGTTCACTAGTTGGTATGTTGACATAATTACACACTATAAAATCTTCGTTTCTTTTCTAAAGTCGAATAAATATAGTTGCAAGCAAACAAGCTGTGAATTCATATACCAATGGCATCGCACTTTTTTTAATTTCCCTGGTCTTTATAATATAAATAATAAAGTAGCTTAACGGGGTGCAGGTTATATATTAAACTAAGTGCCAAGGCGGTAACCAATTGACTAGACCAAAGTAGATGGGCTGAATGATCACTCTAGGACCCATTAATTGGAAGTCGAGCCAAATCAGCATACCCCTTTCATCTCCCTCCTACTGGCTGACTCTTACACAGTGTGCTGTAATGAAACACAAAAATGCAGACTGACAGCCAGGGGGGCAACTTTCTTCTGAATATTTATTGGGTTGTTGGTTAGTTGTCAGCCAGAGTGAGTTCCTTGTTGCTTATTCTTATGATTCTGCCCATTCGGTATTCAGCATCAAGTGAGAGTAGGCAGCAGCTGTTCATGTATGTCTGCAGTTTATTGGAGTTGCTTTCCGTAGCGCGTCAACTCCCTCGATCATCACATTGAAGCACTGACTGACTTAGTGTTGCAAATCCGGATCTTGTTCACGCTTTATGCTGAGTGCAACGCAGTGTAGTAGATCTCCACACTGACTTCAGATTGATGAAGGCCTGTCTTGCTGTCTTTCCGATCCTGGCTTTGACATCCTTATTGAGTCTATGGTAAGTGATATACATATGAATGTCCAACCTCAATTAAACTAGCTGTTTCCATCGTCATATCATACAACACGATTCATGATGATTCGTAGCACCTATTCGCATAACTTGTAAACACTGATGGAACAAGAGCGCTAGTTAAGCATTGAACTATAAAATATACTCATTTATTTCATTTCAACCAGAAGTGTAGACTATTTCAGACAGAATCAACTGATATTAAAAAACAAGGCAGTCGAATAAGAGAATAATACCAAGTCATTGTGCACAAATTACGGTTATACTTTTTTATTATTTGCTGTTGTTGCTACCGTTGTCTGTTTCAATAATAATTTACAAAGTTGCAAGGAAAATCCACAGCAATGTATACGATGGATGAAGCCAGGGGGTGGGGGTGGGGGGGGGGAAATAAGGGAAAGGAATAAACTGATTCACTTATTCTCAACACAAGGGAAGAGGTATAAAGATCATGCATTCACTAACTATGAGAATGAGTACAAAAAAGCATCGATACAAAGAATAAATTTACAGCTATCCAACTACTAAATACGTTGTCTACACAAAGAGTGTTATCACTACAATGATGGTGACCGACAGGAAGGATAAGAAAGATGATATGAAGCATAAATATAACACTAAGTCGACAATCTGTTTTGTTAATGTATGAAATGCAAAAAGCGAAAAGAATGGAAGGAAATAAAACATGAGTAGAAGGAGGAAGAGGAGTAAGAGAGCGGTACTCATGAACGAAGTACACTTCACTGTGAAAACATCACCGGAGGAAAGGTAGGATAGATTTGCAAGTTGAAAGAATGATTTAATGAAAAACAACAACTGAATCTACTTAGTTTTCTTCATCACCTTCAGCATATTCTTCTAAGAGAGCTGCTTGTTCATAATACTTCATTGCTATTCGTCCTTGCAAAGCTTCTGTAGCTCCTTCAGCTGCCGATTCATACAATTCATCTACAATTGAATAAACATACATAGGCAAATAAATACGATAATGCGCTAGACTGTAAGTCATACTTATTACATATAACAGTTAACGATATAACTTCACTGTCGTGAATACAATTCAGTATGAGTGATCTAGTATGGTTCACAATGAATTTCACGAGGACTGCATATTTAACATATTTAACAAGATAAACTATCAATTTCGAATGGCATATCAGTACACATGGTATCACCAGATCTTTTAACAACTTGGAAAACTCATTGAAAATTAATTTTGTGATATGTAAACTATAGATGAAGAGGGTCGTCTCCCACCACCGTTCATCACGATTTCTAACTCCATTTGTTTTTGAAGCCACTAAGGTACATGTTCTCCACCCTCAACTGCATGGCTCGATTACTCCTTACTTCATATGTGTGACCACCACACACACACTACACACACACACACGTGAATTGGTAAACACAATCGGGTGTGACATAATCAGTGATACAGTGTTCAGGTTTTTGATGAAGTATGTGTTTTATTTTTCCCACAGTGATTAGATTGCCTGCGTAATGTGTTTTGTTAATAGCTGTGTTAGTCCACATATCAAAATGTTACTATTCAACTCCTCTCTGTATGGTAGAGTGATGTAGACGCCTTTCTTAGGAACCGTGTACAGAGTTTGGTTTCGGTGCTAACTGACTTCTACAACGGTTTATAAGCTTCAACGGATATCCGTTGTCCATAAGTGTTTTAGTCAGTAATTTTATATCTTTATCCATCATATCTGATGTACTCCCGACCGATAGCTACTACTTTGACATGGTGGTCAGGCTTGCATATCACAATGACCCAACGAGCTATGCTGGTGAAACACTTGTTCCCTCAAGGTCCTACCATACCAGAAAGGTCTGTTGGATAGTGATTAGACGAAAAGCAGTTACCGTTGTGGTGTAAATTACTACACTATCATGGGGGTCTGAGGGCTAAGTCGTACTGCTGATAGTTGGATGGGGTGTGACGGCAGTAAGGTGCTTCCCTTGGATGACCAGCATGCCATGCTAATACTGCCTTCTCAATAGAAGGGTGGGTTAGAAAAGGTCGGCCCCCATGGTCTGCTGGGACCGCGGTGTTGTTCATTTGTCGTTTCCTTTCGACCATCCGGCCTCAAAATACAAAAGTTCAAAATAATCATGGTCAAAGGGCTAGGTGTGACAGGCCTCAAGCAGATATCCGATGGGCTCTGTGGTCACACAAATCTCTTCCAGGTAGGCGCCTTAAGAAGAAATAGCCCTCCATGGTGTGGGCAGCCGGGAAGTGTCAAACTGCCCTCACAACTCAATCAGCACTCAAGTTTCCTCAGATTGATATCCACCTCCCTCATCATTACCTTCTAATCTTCCTTCACGTCTCTCAACTAACAATACTACATCATTTTCAATCTCTCCTACCTCTGCAGCCTTCGACAACGATCTGGGTCCAC